ATGTTAACATAAAGATTAAAAGTTTTTTTGTTAAAATTAATTTGGCAAAATAGTTTTATACCAAGATTAATAAAAACAAAAAAAGTGTATTTGTTAGCAATTGTATTAAAATTAAGATAGCAACCTAAGCATTATATAGTAGTTAATGATAAAACAGAATAAAAATTTGAAAATTGTAACTAAAATAAGTAGTGCTAATGAATAATAAGAGTAAGTTCAAAAAATGTATTATGTTTTTTGGTTTTATCAATAATAATTTGATTATTAAGAACTATAAATAGTTATAATTTGATATTAGAGATAAAATAATTAGTAGTATAACAAAAGTAGTTAGTAAAAAAAAATTAAGGTTATTGTATAGAGTATATTAGTAAAAATAACTAGTAATAATGTTTTTTATTAATATTAAGGTAAATATTTGCAATACAGAATTTTATTAATAATATATTTAGCTAATAGTTATATTATAATTACAAAAACAACTATAAAAAGAGTATACAACTAGTTACTTATACAACTTTAGTTATTGTCTAATTTAAATAGTTTTTTTGAAAGTTTTACACTAGCTGTTATATCTAAAACTTGCTTGTAAGTTTTTTATTTAAACATTTTAGCTTTTTTATTTATCTATTTATTTAATTTATTAATGATTCTATTTAATACTAATAAAAATATACTATAGTCACTAAAGCTTTAATGCAATTCACTTATATAGTAAAACTTTGACTTTGTATTAAACTTTTCAGAATCTTCTGTATTTTATTCTTACAGCTAACCTAGTAATACTATAGCTAAGACCAAAATTTGTAGTTAGGATATACTATTAAACTGCTATATCTTTGTAAAGTTTACTTTAACTTAGATATTTATTTTACAACATATTCCTAATACTTTGATATTTAATTCAAGTTTCACTAAACTTTTAGTTTAGATAATCCAAAAAAATAAATACAACTATATTTTTGGTTTATATATTTTTTAATATATAATTTTTTTCTTTGTTATTCTCTTCAGAGTTCTGGTAGCCTGACTGGTTACAATAGTTGCTTTTTAAAGATTAGTATATTATTTAGCTTTACAAGTTCTAGTTTTGTTTTTATATATTTAGTTTTTACAATAATATTATAAAAAGTTCAGACTATCTCTTTACTCAGGTTTTTCAAATAAGCTTCTGTTTTTCTGATTTTTATAATTTACATAACCTTGAGAACTTATTACAGATTTATACTATCTAGTACTGATTTGTATTTTTTTGTACAAGATACAACTATTGTATAAATATTATATAACTTTTTAGTTATACTAATATAACATAATAATAGGTATCTAATTTTAATTAATAATAAAAGACAGTTAACTATAATATAGAAAGAATTTTAAATTTTTATTAACACTAGAATTTGAATTTTAAACTTATCACTTGAGGGTTAACAATATAACTATTTTACTATATCATTATACTTCATAGTAATAATGTTTTTAAGAATAATAAACTATAATAATATAATGTTTTTTAGAAGTTTATTGAGTCTAAAGAAGATATAAAACTAGTTAAACTCTATTATAATATTTTTTTTAATATTAAAATAATCTCTTAGGTTTTTTAACTTTATTAATATATTTTTAAATAATATAGTTTTGTAAAAACTATTACAAAAAGAGTATACAATTGACTATATATGTAACTTTTTTATATTACTTATTTAAGAAATCATCAAATATTTTTTACTAATTGCTATATTTAACATTTTTGTTTGGAGTTTGAATTTTTATCTTAACCTTAAATTAAATTTATTTTTGATGTAAACTTTCTAAAGTTTGCTATATACTTATTTTACAACTAACTTAAATATTATTATAACTAAACCAATACTTGTAATTAGAGTTAATTACTAAATTAGTATGCCTTTATAGAGTTTACTCAAACTTTAGCATCTACTTTATAGCATATTTTTAATATTTTAATATTCTATATCTTTTTTTTAAACTTTTAATTAAGATAACTTATATAAAACTATTAATATATCAAATTAGCTTAATATTTTTTTCTTTAATTTTTTTAGTTAAAATTTTAGTAGTCTGATTTGTAGTACCTTCTATTCAGAAGTTTTTACTTATTTAAATACTCTATATTGATATTTGTTTCTTAGAATTTTTTTTTTTTTTTTTTTTACTCTTTGACTAGTCTTGCCAAGATCTTTTACATTTTTTACATTTTTTGAACTAATGTCCTTAATATGCTCCCAGAACTGAACCTTGACCTCCCCCAGTCTGTGCTTTTAAACTTTCCAAGGATGACTGTCACACTGATCCTTGCTGGTATCAGAAGGTTTTGCCAGGCTTTATTCAGAACCAACTATCATTATAAGTTCATATAGTATCTTTCATTGTTAGACTTTCGGCCTCACATTATGTCTCATGACTTCAGTTATTCCAAATCAGGTTCTAACTTATGTTCATTACCGAGTAGCTTCTCAATCACAGGTCACTTGCCTTTTCTAGAAATAAGTCTGTCTGATAATGTTCTAGGTCTCTGGTGCCATGGTGTTGCAGTTCCCTATTTTAGAAATGCATCTTTACAATTGTCATCACTAGGATTTGAACTAGCAATTTTGCGATTTGTAACCTCAGAGCATAACTACTATGCTATTGATCCTAGAGGTCATTTTTTAGATTTAATTTTTATAATAATGTTATTAAATATTTGTATTATTACTTTACTTAGTTTTTTTCAAATAAACTTCCCATTCTCTAATTTTTAAGAATATATATAGCTATAAGAACTTATTTTAAGTTTGTACTGCCAAATGCTAATTGTATTTCTTTGTATAATCAGTTATACAGATATTTATAACCTGCCAGTTATACTAATGTGATCATAATTATAGGTATTTTAATTTAATTATTAAAATCAATTATTATAACAAATAAAAAAATTAAATTTTGCTATTAATAGATTTTGAATTTATAACTTGCTACTTAAGAGGTTAACAACTTATTTACTTTATTAAGTTATTATATTCTTTTTCTACTATAATATCAAAATTTTATATTATAATTTTAATTAAAAAATATTTTTTAAAAAAACTTTTATATAAATAAAAATAAATATTATTTTAAACTTTTGGTTTAGAATATAGTTATATTTAAAAATTATAAAAGTAAAATGTATTTTATTTTTTTATATAGTTATATTTAATAAATAAATATTTTTGTAAAGTTACAATAAATTTTTTTTAATATATTAAAACTTAAAATACTATTTATATATTGTTGTAAAATTTATCAATTTAACAATAATTATAACAAAATTTTGTAGTTAAAGCAGCAATCTTTTAAACACTTAAATTTAAAACACTATTTAAGATAATACAATCTGAGATTTTTCAAATTTATATAATACAAATTATTTTTTTTTTGGTAAAAGATCTTTAATTAGATAATTCTTTTTTAATTCTATAATACAAAATTTATACTGGAATGTGGCAACCTAGTGAAGTAGTTAGGTTGTTAACCTTCCAAATAGTAGATTGGGTGTTTAAATCTCATTGATAGTGAAAATTTGGATAATCACCTATGTAATATTCGTATTATGACAACTGTTACTAACAATTAGGTTAGGATACCTGTAATGATGATCATACCAGCATGACTAATAGGTCATAAAGCATCTGTGCAATGTTAGAGTTATACAGAAGAATGCAAACTGACAAATCAGGCAGTGCAAATACTAGATAAGTTCTTGTGACTATATAAATCTGTTGAAATTGAGTAACAAGAAGTCCATTTAGAAAGATCTAAGTAAAGAGATAGCTAGATCTTTGATGCCCCTACTGTAAAGGCTAGTTTGGTGAAATGGATACCTAGATCTAGTACCCAGTTCTAGTAATCAGACAGCCAAGAACCTCTGAGTTGGAAGTCTCAGAGGTACCACCAACCAGGCTGCTGGAATAAACCAGAAAAAAAGAATATCAGGCCGACCTAATATACTGATGGACTGGTCATAGTTCTACATAAGCTATCTGAATTGGAAGTTTAGTAAAAGGGTAGAGGAAAAGGTAAGATTATACTAAAGTACTGAGATTATGCTATGAAGTAGATGCTAGAGTCTAAGTGAACTCTACAAGAGCATAGCAGTTTAATAATTAATTCTGACTACAAATGTTAGTTCTGCTATAGCAATACTTAAATTAACTGTAAAAATAAGTACAGAAGGCTTTGAGAGGTTTACCTCAAAAATAAATTAATCATAAGGTTAAGGACAATGATCTGGTACATCTGAGATGACCAATGATGTTAACATAAGTTACAGGTTCAGAAGGTTTAAAATGGAATATCCAAGCAGAGATGTTAGGTATAGCAATTAGTAAGAAACCTTTAGGTAAACTTCTTAAATAGGTAATATAGAAAAGTTACACATATAGCCAATTGTATGCTCTTCTGTAGTAGTTCATTGAACCACAATACCGATAAATGATTAATAAAAGTCAAAAGACCAAAGAGATCACCTTAATACTAAAAAAAAAAAAAATTTATACTAATTATTAGTTATATTGTTATTTAACACACAACAGTCTTTTAAACCTTTAAAAATCCTTACAAATTTCTAAACTATATATTTATAAAATAGCTTTTGCTAAAATATTTTAAAATTTTTTTTAAAACTGCTTGTTATTTTTAGATGATAAAAAATGCCTTTTTTTTAAATAAAAATTGGTTTTAAAATAATCTTAGTATATTGCAGATTATTTCTAAATCGCATACTTAACTGCAATATAGTAAAATAAGTTTGATTTGATAATTTGATTTAAGAAACTCATTAAGCTGCTCAGCTGATAATTTTGGCCTAAAAATGGTTGAGTTGCAGATTTGTATTGTAAAAATTTCCATATGAGCCGATTTTTTTGTCATACTTTTCAAAACGATCTAATTCTGGTCAAATCTGCAGATCATTTGGCCCTGACTTATCAGTTTTAAAACTGATAAGCCAGGGTCAAATGATGACCAGAATTAGTCGTTTTGAATAGTATGACAAAAAATCGGCCTATATGCATTAGCAAAAAAATGTATGTTGCATATAATTTTAGCCAGGGCGCTACTTTAGATATATAAAGTGGCTACTTTAGATAAGTCGCTACTTCAGATGCGATATGAAACTGAAAATATGTAGAAGTTGATATTAGTACCTCTTCGCTTTAGAGTCTATTAATATAGCTACCACCAATGAATAAGAAACTACCACTAGAGCTACCACCACTAAACAAGAAACTACTGTTAAAACTACCACCACTGAACAAGAATCTACCGTAGAAGCTACCACCAATGAACAAGAAACTACTACTAGAGCTACCACCACTGAACAAGAAACTACTGTTAAAACTACCACCACTGAACAAGAAACTACCGTAGAAGCTACCACCACTGAACAAGAAACTACTGTAGAAGCTACCACCACTGAACAAACAGCTATCGCTAGAGTTCCACCACTGAATAAACCATAACTGCTATAACTGAACTAACAACTATCGCAAGAGCTACCACTGAACAAGTAACTATAAACTACAACTATTGTAGCTACCACTATTGAACAAGTAACAACTATTGTAGCTACCACTACTGAACAAACCACAACTGTTACCACTGAACCGGTTACCCTTTCGTATGGTTTTCCGGGCAGGTAAAATTCATTGCAAAGTTCTTCCGCAAATAAAAATGCGAATCAAATGAAGAATAAATTTTTTAAATGTGTTGATAAAGTAAGGAATTTAACATGTAATTTAGATGTTACGTGAGACATCACAATAATTTATGTCTTGCGAATCATTTATAAATTATATATAAAAGATTATGAATCCAATAAAATGATGTTTATAAAATTATAGCTTACAGTAAATTATTCTAAAACTTGTCCAGACTCGTATACAATCTTTATGTTTGTATGAAAATACACTTTAAATTTTACCATATAATGCAAATTTGGTTTTATGACTAATACTGCTAATAAAATGAAATATTGGTATTAGAGATTGACAATCAAGGGTTGAACTATAATGACATTTATCGACTTGATCTATTACTTTATTAATTACTGTCACCATCGCTTCAAATACGAAATACGTAACTTTCAGCGAGCGTCAAATATCTAACCCATCGCTGTGGCGGTAATGAATCATTCTTTTCAAATACTTTAAGGCGACGAATTTGAACGTTAGAACACGTGTAGTTTTGTATATCAAATTCAAGGCTAATAAAATAAGATTATTAGCATTTTATGCATGTAAGCAAATGAAATTCACGAACTCTTACTTGATAGGTCCTATTTCCAAGTGGGCTGCGGGGGAAAATTGACTTGCACCAGTGACCTAATGAGTGTTTAACATTAATAATGATAGAAACCAATTTTTAATTAATATTAAATTATGGCATGATTAACACCATTGATAAACAAAAATAAACCTTTATTTTGAATGATTGCTCAGTACCACCCTTCAACCTATTAATCGTCCAAAACACTTTTCTTACACGGCTATCATATCGAGCTGACTGATCCGCAAATCCATCCAAATGTTCGTTTGACACGCTAAAAATAGAACAATAATCATGAATTCGCAATAAATTGAGTGATTACTACATATCGGCTGATTTGATTTTTAGGCCTTTTTTTGATAAACTGATACACGAAAGTCTGCTCCTAAGTAACGTTGGAAAGTAACAAACGAAGCACTTGTCACAACTAAGCAAAGAGTTTTTTTTAGCATCTAGACACGACAAAAGATGAATAGAAATCAATAAAACAGCTATGCTAAGCTATAGAAAGAAGCACTTTTACCGTTTGTTAAAATATACTCGAGTTTTTAGGATGGCCATTGAACGATGAATCGGTAACTGTAACGGGTGAAACCGGAAGCAGGTTTTCAAAAAATGGCCTTTCAAACTTACTTTTGGCATATAATTAAATACATGAATTTCGTAATTTTTACATACTTAATTATAAGTTCATTTTGTAATAAATTTTCGTGTAAAAGTTTTTTGATAATCGTCGATTATGACTGGTCAATTCTGAGGTCAAAACAAATCGGCCAATATGAATGATTCAGCAATAAAAATGTCATACCTTTGAGTGATATACGGTAAAGGCACAATTACTGTACAATTTGTCGCGAACTTATCTTCGGGAAAATCTGCCCGAATTCGAATAATAACATCCAATTTATTTGGACTCCCTGGAACATCTAAAATTTGTGGAAATATCCGAAATGGCAAACTAACATCACTAGATATTCGATAACTGAGGATAATTTAATTATTATTAAATTTAATGAATAATTATTCGTACGTGCAAGCAATATTATTAATATTCAAAACTAACATCATAGCAGTTATTTCTCCTTCTTGTGGAAATATAATCAATTGTCTGTGTCCTTCAAAATCTAAGTTATAATACCAATAACAATAAATAACAATCCAAGTGATTATATAGGTATTATAAAATAATCATGCAATGTGCTTACCTGAAGAATCCACCAATTCATGAAACTTGTAGTCATCAAATATGATCCCAAATCGATCATCTTTCGTTCATTACAATGCAGAAATGAGCTTTGTAGCATATATTTAAATACGAAAATAATAATAATAATAATAATAATTAAATAAAAATAAAAAATAAACAAATAACATACCAGTATTATACATGTCTCGACCATGAGTCATACTAGAATTCAGGATAATACGAATCTCGGAGTTATCTTGTAGATAACTTTTAATTTGTATTGATCCATTAATCTCAGCATGGATTGTCATTCCCTATTATATTGTCAAAAGAATAAATATATTCAAATAATACAGTGTATGTTTTAAAAAATGAATATATGTAAAATAAAACCTACATCGGAAGCAAAAGAAGCAATAAGTCGTTCAATAATATCAATAAAGACTTCATTTTGTTTATATCTCCCTTCATCACGTGAATGGGCGGTTGGTTTACTAATTGGCTTACTGCTGGAAGATCCTAGATTCGTTCCATGAGTCCTTAACTAAAATAAATAAATTATTAATTTATAATTTATAATAAATTCAATTAACAAGACAGATAATAAAACTAAATAACACACTTTTGCTATAGAATTAAATATTATATTTTCTTTCTTAACAGGTACAGGTTCTTCATAAACAAATAATTTTAATTGATCGGTTGATGTTGTCTGAGGATAACCATAATCCTTGATTAAAAAAAAAATTTTTTTTAAAAAAATCGATCGTTTGATTTATCGAACTTTTGATACATTAAAGACTTACAATTACTTCATCTAATAATTCGTAAATTAAGCTAGAATTTAGTCGCACACATTCTTCACTTAATATTCCACAAAAGTCTCTCATTAAACTAGCAATACGGTCAAGTAATTCAAAGGTCATAAAAGTAGATACATTAAATCTTGTAGTGCATACAAAGTATAATCCTTGAATATTTGTGAACAAGATTTGAACACCATCGACGTTAAAGGTTGGGGGAGGATCTTGATCTGGACCATGTTCTTTATGCCAAGTTTTTAATCTGTCAAGAAATAGGTCAGAGGTATTGCGAGAAACATCGTGGCGGTCTGTAAATAATGCTAAGAATGAGTAAAGTTATTATGCACAACATTAAAAAAAAATAATAATAATAAATCTTTATCCTACAATCACGGAATACTAGAGTGTCACCTCGTTGAGGAGATAAAATAAAAAACTGAGAAATCATATATTAAAAAATCTTGAAGATAATGAAATTTAAAATTTTATGATTGGCTCGATTATTTTTGGACTCAGATCTGCAAACGAGTATAAATTGTTTTGACAAAGGCTTCCAACCCAAATCAACATTATGGGGGTAAGTTGGTATTATATTTTGCTTTCTCGTCTTATTAACCGTTATTAATTTATTAATTTCTTAACAGATAAAATACGTTCTACTGGTTAGTAGACAAGGAAAAGTAAGACTTGCAAAATGGTTCAATACACTTTCACCAAAAGAAAAACAAAAAATCATTAAAGAAGTGACACAAATGGTACTTTCACGACGTACTAAAATGTGTAATTTTTTAGAATATAAAGGTTTGTTTTAATTTTTTAAATTTGTAATTTATATGTTTGATATTCTAGATCACAAGTTTTGACAAACGTTTTATTATGTGGAATTAAATCGTAGATGAGAAAGTTGTATATCGAAGGTATTATTTTATTAACAATTCAAACAAAATCAAAGTTATTGTCATTAGAATATTTCAACATGGCGTTATTCTATTTTATAATAGATATGCAAGTTTATTTTTTGTCACAGGAATTTCAGCTTCAGATAATGAACTTATAACACTTGAGATTATTCATCGATACGTTGAAATTTTAGATAGATATTTTGGCAACGTAAACACGATCAATTCTCATCCTGCATATTATTGTTATTTTTTTTTTCTTTTAATAATCATGTTTAGAATATTTTGCTTTTAGGTTTGTGAATTGGATCTAATCTTTAATTTCCAAAAGGTATCGATCCTTTCATTTTGTTTGATAATTATATATTACATATTTATATATCATTTCTATATATTTAATACTTTAGGCATACTATGTTTTAGATGAGTTGATTATTGCGGGTGAAATGCAAGAATCAAGCAAAAAGGCAGTATTGCGTGTAGTTAATCAACAAGATTCGTTGGAAGAAGGCGAAAATGGAGAGAAAGGATGGCCAGAAAAGTCATAACATTTTCGTGTAGCGATGCGAGTTATTAACATTATATATTTATTATAATTATTGGAGATAAAAAAATAGGACTAAGTTTATTAATGTATAGATAAAAAGAATAAGTCTATTGTTGAAGAGAGAAACGAATAAGGGCTAAATTTTGTAATTGTGTATAAATAAATAAAAAAAAAAAAAATTTTTTTTTTTAAGAGGTAAATAATCATCACTTAAAATTATAATAAATGTCATAGTTTTTATTTATCTTTAAAATTATTATTTGTTTCGATTACAATGGTGATAAGATTCTTTACTCAAACAATTAATTTATAGTTATTGAAATTGTGAAATTAAGGATGTAAAAAAACATTTTTTCACCAATGTAAAACATGTGATGATTAAGGTCTGAATAATTAAATCTGGATTTAAGCGAATACAGATCACATAATCATCACTTGTTTTGAATTACGTAATAAAAAACATTTGCCATCCCTAAGTGAAATGACAAGATTTTCTACTGCTTATTGATGTGATGTGGTTATTTTAAAGAATGATCTGAACAAAATTAATGCATGTAATAACGCATGTAAATTTGAGAAACAGGTTTAAAGCTTTACACAGTAAAATATTTAAATTTACGCATTTCTTTACAGTTTAACCTTACAATTTCTTTACATATTTTTATATTTAAAATATATGTCATATATTTAGACGCGTCGTTTTACCTTTGCAATTTCTTACGTACATGCATAATTTGGCGACACAGTATACATACAAACATGATGATGTATATATAAAGAAGAGGTGTAAGCAATGATAATTAATTAATTAGGATATAAATATTAACGTTGACATTTCTTGTAATCCTGTTAGAAAAACATGTGGAGATACTTGCAATAAAAAAAACCATAGCGATAGTGATAGTCGTAATTTATCGGTACACTACACAGCCATTGACGATATTACCGATATTACGTATATATGACAAGTATTCCAGAATTCTAAATACCGGATATGACTTGCTAAATTCTTGACGGTAAATATGATATATAAATTTACTATTGATATCGTTATGGAGATTGACTAAAATAAAAAAATTTAAAGTTTTTTTTTTTCAAAGTTCATTAGAATTGATTGTAACAATAAATACTAATCTTCATAAAGATTGGTACTCATGCACGTATGTATGTACATATTTAGTAAAATGTAACAAAATTTATTATTTAATCATTTGCTATTGCTAAATATATATACACACTAAATCTTAACACTAAGTAAAGTTTAAATATTGGCAACTTCATAGCTAATGGTTGATTGCCTCGATATTAGATTGGTTAAACGTTAATTAAGAAGAAAGCTCGTGAGACATTAACATGATCCATACCAAACATTGACAAAGAACAAGAAAAATCAGGGATGAAATTTATAGAATTACCGACATTACTATAAAATTTTATACGCAAAATAAGATTTCTAAAGATATTAAAGCACGAGTACTTCTCGAGGGACAATACCGGTAAAAGTAAATTCTACAACGCCCCATACAAGTTGCAATAACAAAAAGGCTTGATATAGAAAAGTAATTCTGGTTTGCAGGTGGAGAAAGCCCAGAATATACGAAAATATAGAAAAATATACGAAAATATATGAAAAATAAACATTATGAAAGACAATAGTATAGAGGACTGTAGCAAATAGAGCCGGATGTTTGATAAACAGAAACGCAATGTAAAAATTCCCGCGCATTTTATTTTTATTTTTATTCTATTTTTTTTTTTTTTTTTTTTTAAACTCACTAGAAAAATTTGTATTACGACGATTAAAATGCATTTAATTTGTTAGAATTACCAAATTTAGTAGGGAATCTTGACCGCGAATACTTTATTTTTATGCGGATGACGTGGAGGGGTGATTTTAAAATTAACGGAGAGAGATCTCTCGATTAATCGGTATTATTTATCGTCTAGAAACATGTTTATGGAAGATCAAAGGTAAACCACCAACCACAAACAGATTTCTCAGAAACACGAGGAAATTAATTATTTCCCGTGAATGAATGTTAGATGAATATTAAGTAATAATATCTGATTTACTGTATTAGATATTAGATGAATATTAATTGAACATTATTAAACATATATATATATATTTTTAATATGTAAACAGATAATAGAAGTGCACAACTGGAGATTTTATTATTATGGAAATATTTATCGAGAGACTTCAAAGATCATTTAAAATTAATTAGATCATTATTACCCTATTGATACATTATTGATACAGTAATAGATTCACAGTCATTGTTGAACGACTTATTGATTTATTAAATCATTTAATATAATAACAATATTGTCACCAACCGTTTATGGACAATGTGAACGAACAATTACGGTACTCTTAACAATTGCTTCATTACTCTATTACTCTATGATACATATAGAAAAGATGAAACACGAATTGACAATTGTAGCTTCTGCAGGGATGATAGTTGTTTGTTTACCAATGATCGCTTGTTTGTTATCTCCTTGCTTTCCTTTAGTTGCTTGGAATTTGTGGAATTTGGATCTTTGCACGGACAATTTTTTTTAATGGACCCTTAAAAAGCATGACTCATGTTGGTCGATCGACCAGTTGACTGTACGATCGTATACGATCATAAGCATACCGTTTTCAAAGCAAAAACCGTTATGGTAAAATGCACGCGTGGCTTCATATCAGGTCTTAAAGATACTTGGCATTATTGAAGTGAATTTAATGAACTAACAAACTTGGAAAATATAATTCTCCAATCTTTCATTAATTCTTTCGTCACCTATTTCATAATTTATCGTCTCTTGCTTTTCACCTTATGCACAAGATGCTTTTATTGCTTCTTGTTATTTACATCTTTCGTGAAATGAATAAAAAAAGTCACTTACATTCGGTCATGAAAATCTTTTTAGATTGTCTTTCTTTAGAACATATCTTTCTTTATCCACATCCAGAAGGCTTCCTGCACGCCTTCGCTGTCATTAAGCCAAAAAAAGAAACCCCAAGTGCTTCAATGAAGCTTCTCTCTGCGCATGCATTAAATCACACCCTATTTTGTTGTCACCTAGGATGAGTTTTAAAGGTTTAATATAGACTTATTTGACGAATTTGGCTCGATCATTCAATATCATTCTAATAATTTAATTTAATTCAATTCAATTCAATTTAATGCTATTTAATGCTATGTATTAAATTCTATTTAATTCTAATCAATTTCAATCATGATAGACCCATGATAGACGGAGTTGACTATTTAAGACTCACGCATATAATCACAAGAAAATACTTATTATATCCATTTCTAGATAATCGACAGTTGTTCCAATACCGTTAAATGAATGTACCACTTCGAACTACTTATAACTGCATGCTGCTGCGTCATGTCTGAATGCTTTGTATCACTGTCGCAAATACTCCGCAATCGGTAACTGTTGCTGCTTTTTCCCAACGGTATACATAAATTACGGAAGAAGGGGCGAGGCCTTTTGTTTATCGAAACGGGGTGTTATTGAATGGCCAATTACCAAATATGGCTGGTGAGTTGGAAGCTTGAGCCAAAGGGTTCGCTTATGCAAAAAAAGCGTGAAAGCTGCACCAAAGCAGGCAGCAACTGGTAGTCATTGTTTGTTGCTAATGGATAACCCTATGGGCATTTGGGTAATCTTTCACGCTTTATATCGACTTTTACGTTTCCTTACTATTTGTCAACAATCCCTAAACACCAATAGAACTCTTTGAATCAACCCTATCTTACCATTCCTTCCATATAATATTCCAACTTCCGACCCTGATGATTTCCGTTATAAACCCTCGTTGTTATGCCTCTTTTGCCTTTTTTTTTCTTCTTTCACTGCCTTGTTTTTTGTCTTTCCGGAGCTTCATTGATTTCTCCTCGCCCTTTCTTGTTAAAAAACAAGCATCGTCCGTTTTTGATTTTTTTTTTTCTCCTGTTTCTGAATCCATTCATCACTCGTCGCACGTTCTTTTTTTAGTTGTGTTTGGGTGACTTGTGAGTTGGTTGGATCTTACTTTTTTTTGATTTTTGATTTTTTTTATTTTATTTTATTTTATTTTATTTTATTATTTTATTATATATTTTATTTCATTTTATTTGATCCCTTTATTTGATCTCTTTTTTTTTGTATATTCTATTTATTTCTATTATATTATTTTTATATTATTTTATTTTACTTTGTTTTATTTTATTTTATTTTATTTTATTATTATTTTTTTTTGTATTATAAATTTTATTTCTATCTGCACGCGAGAACAAAAACGCGTAAAAAAGTTATTTCGGGATCTTCTGTACATTTTTTATAGACTCTCGTTCAACTCTACCACATTTTTATATACCCCGCATTCTTTCCAAACCATCTATACAGTATAATTAATTTTGGTCTCTTGATGTAAGTATATTATTCATATCGGGTAATTAGTGGGCAACGTGCTTGTCCCCTAAATTGTTTGATTTTTTGCGCATCACCCCTTCCCCAGTCCTTCCCCCTAAAAGAAAAAGATAAAAAATACATGCTGCAGTTGCTGCAAAAGAAAAAAAAAAAACTTTTTGATTCCCCATTTTCCCACACTGGAATTCTGTATAAAAGAAACCGAAAAACGCGACTTTTTACCGATTTTCTTTACGCTCCCTTTTTTGCGCGTCGTCTTCTCCCTCTTTCTTACGTGCCACCACAAAATTATCGCAGCCACCTTCGTATTTTTTACTTTGATATTATTGAAAAATATTATTTTCAGTAAAAAAGAACAGTTCACTTTTTTTTTTTTTTAAATCAAAAAAAAAAAAAAAAAATTTCTTTAAACGTTCTATCTAGGAAAAACTTTTTTTTGCTCAGGGTAACGATATCGGTTGATGTAGAAAATATATATACTTTAAACACACCTTGTATATATTTTTAAATAGATTTAAAATACAATATATAATCTTCGATTGATAAAAAAAAAAAGTCGTTTTTTTCTCTTTTTCCCTTTCTCGTATCCCTACGCATACACTTCGTTTCTATTTTTTAGATCGAATTTTTCTTTCCTTATCTATTATAAAAGAGAAACTATACTCACTCGATATCCCTTTATTTTTCATACTCATGCAAGACCCCCGAGCGGAATCTTATATGGAACGTCACGATTTAAAGAATTTACTTAACGAACTCGAAGGTGGACTGCAACGTCACCAGCCAAACGATCCCTTAGACTACATTGTTGGTTGTGTAAGATCGGTCCAACAGATAAAGAGGGAGTCGAAGGAACCGCCTTCGTACTCAGTAAGTATTTTTGTTTACGTAAAAAAGTCTTACCTTATTCGTTTGTTAACAAGAGTCACCGTTTTTAATTTATCCTTTTATAATCATGATCTATTCTATTTCTCATCCTTTTTTTTCTCGTGATAACGCGCTTTTTTCATCAAAATTTTTTTTTTGTTCTATATATCATCATTATTACCTCTTCTTACTTAATAATTCATTCTATATTCTAATTTATTAATTAATTTATTTAAATAGAAACTCTTTGAAGGATATGCCACTCAAGCTTACGATTCATCTAGTGTGGCTAGCATTCAACGAGACGGTTCGACAACGCCTGGGCATCCCAGTATGTATCCTTTCGTGCATTTCACGCGTTTTTATTTTAATTTTGGTTAATTACGTAATTAAATAATTGAATTATTTTAAATTTCATAAAATTATTAAAGTAGCAAATAGAAAACGTCAAAGGTCTGAAGAGGACTCATTGTAAGTTTATTTCTTCTTTAGGTATCCTTCCTTGAATAAAAAAACGCATGTCATTTTCCTTCGTCATTTCTTTAAACTTTCTGTTGATTATCAATCTAGTATGGAAATCAGAACGCCTCCTTATTTCACTGATCAACATGTTCCTCATCGGCTTTCTGATGAAGATTCATTTCAATGGCGTCAATGTTTACCTCCATCGCCTCCGAATTTTACTCGTTTTATCCGTAATTATTCTAGTACCTTTGCAAGACGAGGTCGTCGTAATTCTGTCAGTGCCGAATCAATCAGACCTTCAGACGATCCTAATGATCGTACGATTCATCCAAAATCCGAAGAGGTGAGAAAACGAATCAACGTTGCTACTACCTTGAACTTGCTTTTCAAGTATTTGGATCGTGAAACTAAAGAACAAGTAGTAAGTTTACATAATTATATATATGTAGAGTTATATATATTTATATATAAATAATGTATTACTATCCATTTCTTATTATCTTATTACTTCTTCATGTCGCTTATTGTTTAATTATTAGATAGATGCCATGTTTGAAAAAACTGTTCAAAAAAATGAAATTATCATTACCCAAGGTGAAGAAGGTGATAATTTTTACGTAATCGAACATGGCATATTTGAAATTTTTGTCGATGATAAATTAGTTCTGGTAGTCGCTGACGGTGGTAGTTTTGGTGAACTGGCATTAATGTATAATGTATTTTATCAATTTTATCAACTTTTTGTTTTTGTTTTCGTGTTCGCATATACTCACGTGATCTTACACTATAGAATCCTAGAGCCGCTACTGTTAAAGCAAAAACTGATGGTATTTTATGGGCTGTAAGCAGAGATGACTTTAGGAGAACTATTACAAATGCCATGAATCGTCAACGAAAAACTTACGAAAATTTTATAAAATCGGTTTCGTTTCTTTCTTCTTTAAATAAATCCGAGATTACCAAACTCGCCGAAGCTTTGGAACCCTTCAATTATGAAGGTGGTGATACGATCATCACTCAAGGCGAACCTGGTGAATATTTTTACATCATCGAACAAGGTTGTGTGAATGTATGTAAAGTCGAAGACAATGGTATCGAGCAACAGTTACCAAACCTTGGTCCGGGAAATTATTTCGGGGGTAAGAAGATATTAAATTACTACATTTATTACTTCATTTTATAGGCTAGGAAATATTTTTAATACTTATCGAATGATAATAATACTTTAAAAAAAAAAAAAAAACGCGTAGAACTCGCTCTCCTTAATGATCAACCTCGTAAAGCCACTGTTGTTGCACGAGGCCCTGTTCGAGTCGCCGCCTTAAAACGTGATGCTTTCGTTCGTCTTTTGGGTTCTGTTATGGATATTTTCCGTAGAAATGCCCAAGGATACAATATGAATACTGAAAGTAGTAGTTATTCTACTCAATATGATAAGTCTTACTCTCCGGTTCCCGAACGTTCGGATCCAACTTCAGGAGAAAATAGCATACAAAGTCACGGTAGTGGTGACGAAAGTATGGCTGTGGATGCTATGGATGAAGATTATACTTCACCTCCCACTACCAATTCAACACATACCACTGGTAAAAAATGTGGATACAGTGGAGCTGGTGGTGTTGATGTGTTGTAAAAACACAAATATTACTTGACCATTATTTTTTTTTTTGGTTTTGGAAATGTTTGCGGGGTTTCTTTTTTTCTCTATGCAACAAAAAAATCAATCATATATGTGTAAGTTTTTATATTTTAAATGAAAATATCATCCTTTTTTATGCCTTTTTTAAGCTCTTTTCTTTTGATAATTATATAACCCTTTTTTTGGTCATTTTTTCTTTATCACCATCACTGCATCCACTTATTTTTATGAGTATGCGCGTTTTTGGTTTTTATTTTTACCGCTCTTTTTCATCACTACCATTTTTTTTTTTAATCATTTAAAAAAAATTTTCTTTATTATTTCATACGCCCATAAAATACAATTAAAGACCGAAGCTCTTTTTTTTAAATTAATTTTTTCTTATGCCTCGACGGTAGCAACGCCACCTATTCTAAGGACTTAAGATTTGCCCCCTTATGGGGCGTTAACATTTCCTCTTTTTTATTTTATTTTATTTTTTCATTTTTTTTTACTACTTTTTGGCGTTGTTTCGTCGGGGGTTCGTATTTCTTCAATGATTTACTTATCTGTATGGAAAAAAAAGATGTTTTGGTTTTTTTTTGTTTTTTTTTGTTTTTTGAAATAAAGTATTTCATCAATAAGCACTCTTTAAGGTAATCTGGTATATTATCACACTGTATTAAAACTGTTTTACCTGCTATTGCTATCTTATGACATGTTACCAGCTTGAAGTATAATTTATGGGCGGTGGTAAGAAAGTTATGTGTAAAAGATCGAGACAGGAAATCTTTCGGAGTTGAGAGACGGGTACCAATAACGAAAGTAAGAGATCTCCTTCAGATTTTACACATGGAAGGTTAGGTTGTGAAAAGACGGTGGAAAAAAATTCCGCATAGTATAATTTTCTAGTCATATTCACATAAGTGTTTAATAATCCTCTTTTTTTTAAAAAAAAACCGACAATGCCAATCTTTTAAAATTATGACGAACGATTAATGATTTATAATAATATTTCATTTTGTCTTTTTTCCATAATATCACATAAATAGGTAAAGGCTAATTCAGAAGGTTTTCATTACAATCTTAAAGACAATCTTAAAAGACAATCTTAAAGTTTGAATTCATACATTGTTAGAAAGTGAACAGTAAAATTGGAAACAGAACTCTTAAAAAAAAAAGGAGATAAATTGACAAAAACCGAAATGGTTGAAGTTATGAACAAAATCATTACAGGGAAAAAGACCATTTGACAAAGGAGCGTGTCAAATTGACTTCTTACTATTCATAATTACAAAATGGTTTCGAAGCATATTTATTATTATTATTCATAGGTTATCTTATGATCTTGGAATTTTTTCATACTCTTAAATCATTGCAGAATCTATATCCGAAGAAAAAGTTCTGTTGAACGGGCTTTTTTATATCACATCTAAATTTTTTAGTGGCGCGGATGTTAATCACACCGCATAAAGATTGATTATTCACAAAAAAAAAAAAAAAAAAAAAAAAAAAATTTTAAATTTAAATTTTTTTTATTTTAATTTTTTTTTCTGCATTTTAAGACATTTTAAGACGTGACTCAGCATTAAAGTGAATTGGAGGTACGCAAGTTCAAGTTTTTTCAAGATCTATCTTAATGCCCTTATCAAACAAAAAAGCATGCTTCAGTCAAAAGAATGTAAAAAATGTCGTTCATGCTTCAACATTCTTCATATTTGTTTTATTGGTTTATACTAAAAGATTATTTAATGATTTCATTCTATGCACATGTACATACATGGACTAGACCAGACGCAAGTGAAAAAAAATAGATATCGACCACACCAATTATTACCGAATTTGAGAAATCTGTGTATTGGCAAAAAAAAAGCATATTTCAATTTTTAACGTACGGTTGCATGAATTTGACCCATGAGTACTACGAGAAGTAAACTTTGACAAACAAACCTATCTAAAAAGCCTGGTATAAAAATACATTTTTTAAAATCATCACTTTCTAAATTAATACATGCATGGCGCAGCAATTAGATCGCCAATCTTTTTCATTTATTTTTGGAGCAAAAATAAGTATCGGTTAACTATTGGACTCCCAACAAATAACTCTTAAAACCAGTTATTAATCAAGTTGGTTGAAGAAAAAAAAATAAACAATATGACTGCGGCGTACAATCATATGATTAATTACCAATTTGGAGGTTTTACGTAATAACACTTTGCATTTAATGTATTGACTTTTCGGTTGTCTTTTAATAAACCAAATAAACCGTTCTTTTTTTTTTTTTTTAACCGTTTCATAGTCGTTTCATTTATAACGTGTTTTGTGTTTCTTTTTGACTTTTGATTATTATTTAAAAAACGTTAATTGTTTCTCGATTAGAATAGTTATTCAATGGTTTCTTTGGTTTGTTTTAAAGTTTTTTTCCTAATATTGAAAAGTTTTTGTTAAATGACGATTGTTTAGAAACCGGTTGCGAGTTAAATATTTCGAATAATGATCCAAGTTAAGCTTAGGTCACAAAATTTTAATTTCTTGGTTAGGCCATACATAATTAATTTTTTGGTTTTCATGATAAAATTTTAAAAATGACTCGGCAACTCGGCTTTTAATTTTACTTTCAAAAATTTTATATATATAAAAAAGCAAAATTTTTATAGCAGATATTTAAAAAAAACCTACCCGGATACGTAGTCAAAAAATTTGTAGAATTTAACCCGGCCGGGTTATGAAAGCCAATTGATTACAACTATTGAGGTGAGACCGTCCCGAATATGGAAATTATGGTTACCGACCTTGCATATCAGCACGCCCAATCAAAATAGCGAAATTAATATTTAATTTTTTTATTATAATATAATATAATTATGCGATATTTAATAAATTTTAATAAAAAAATGGATATATAGTTTAATTTAATAAAAAAAGATAATATGATAATTCGATATTTTATTTTTTTAATAAAAAATTATTATTATTTTTTTTTTTTACAGTTAAAGTCTCTGTTTATAGGGATTGATGTTTTTATTTACGTATTTGGACACGGGTGCCTCCAGGGGCTCCCTTACATTGGAGGTTACAACTAGTTATACGTGCACTTTTGATGTCTAATTTAAGTAGTCCGCCTATACATTACTATACAGGTTTTACACTAGATGTCATACTTGCAAGCCAACTACAGGTCTTGTCTATTTAAACCCTCTACATATGCAGTCCATCATGTCTCATAGTGACATCTTCAAGATTATACCTATTTAAAATACCTAATGCCTTTGAGGCCTCTTAGGATTTGACAAAAAACTTACTAGAACCTTTCATGTCTCACACATAGCTAATCTAATTTTATATAACTTATTATAGTTATTTAATACTTGTAATCACAAGAGTTACCTGTTTAACTGTTATGTTATATTATTTTTATTCTTGTAAAGTTTACTAGAACTCCAGTATCTATTATTGTGATGTCTTCTTTATCATCCTCTACTAACTATTACTCAGAACTGATAGAACTCTTTTGATTTTCAATCCAAATGATCTGGTATAGTATATTTATATATTCTTTTTTTCTCTAATGATTCTAGTGATCTGGTTGGTCATATGTTCCTCTACATATCTTGTCATCTAGTTCATTCATTTATTCTTTTGAAAATGTTTTATGGACTTTTATCAATCTGATCATATTATTAAAAGTTCATGCTACTTCTTTATTCAAAAATTTTCAAGTAAGTTTTTGACTCTTTAGTTTCTTAGTTTACTATACCTGATGGTCTTATTGTAGGTTTATATCAAAGTCTTATGCAATATTGATTATATATTTTTCTATATATATGTAATATTACATTTCGCATAGATGCTCTGAGCTCCTATTCGAGATGGTGCAACTTAAGATTACAGATATACTAATTCAACTAATTATCAAAAGACAGTTTGTTATAATACAAATATAATTTTCCAAATTTTATTATAGGTGGGATTTGAACATTAGACCTGTCATTTGGAGAATGACAATCCAACCACTATATTATGATCATCATCCCCAATAAAAAATTATTATAATATATTTATTCAATTTTTTTTAATAAAAAAAAAATTATAATTTAACTAAAGTTTTTTTTGTTTGCTCTAGTAAATTGTTTATTGTTATTATATTACCAGTTGCCATATTCATATTATCTAAATCATTCTTATTCAAACTTTCAGTATTCTCTTTAATAAATTTATTTTTATCTATATTTTTTGTTATATTTTTTTTAAACATCTCAACATTTTTCTTAATTTCTTTTTTAAGAAAATCTAAATATATTAAATATTTAAAATTATATTTTTGTAAATAATAACTATAATAATCAGGTCTATATAAAAGAATATTACCATAATTCAAACAATTAGTATATTTAGTATAATTATAAAATTGATAATTATATAAAACATTTGTAAATAGTTTTTATGTAGTAACGAAATCTTTTGAAAAATAATGATAAATTATAATATAACTTAAAAAAAATAGTATATGTTAAAGTCCCTATGCTCAGTTCAAGTTCAGTTCAGTTCGAGTTGAATCTAAACTTGAACTAAACTTAAACAATAAATTTTACTAATTTTAAACATGAACCTGAACTCAAACTCATAATTTCCAAACTCAAACCAGACTCAAACACTGTAATAAATTTGGTCTGGGTTTGGTTCAAAGTTTATAAACAAATTCAGGTTCGAATATGAAATATTTAAAAAAAGTTTATATAATTTAAAGTTTAGTAAACTCAATTTTTAAAAACTTTTTAGGAATTAAGTTCAATAAACTATAATCTGTACTATCATATAAATAGAGCTTTAACTTATATACTTTTCTCTTATTTAGTTAATATACTATATTGTATATTAAAAAAATCTAAATATATTTTATAATTATAATAACAATAAACTTATAACCCATACTATCATATAAATAAAGCTTTAATTTATATACTTTTCTCTTATACTGTATTGCATATTAAAAAAATTAATAAGTATATTTTAT